ATATAATTTATAAAAAAATAAACGTTTTTAAATATACATATGTTAACATGAAAATGTGTAAAATGAAAAATAGTAAAAGAAGAGATATAAAGTAAATTAAACAACTAACTATAAAAATATAAAGTGTAATTTAATATTTGATTGTTTACACAAATTTTTTTTAATTACAAAAAAAGGTTGTTTACACATTACTTAAATTATACCTATTTTAAGAATTTGCTTTAAAAAATTATTATAAAGTGAATTCATTTGAATAAATCGGTTATTTCTGTTAATTTCTCCTTGCAACATTGTCCAACTCTAAAGGGTTGTTTGATTGGTTTTCCATTAAGTCTTGTATGGATAAATCTGTCTGCATTAATTAATCTATCGTATCGATTGAGGGGGTATTTGGGATTGCTTATTTGAAACAACTTATGTTTTTCTACAAAAACACTTATCAACTTATTATAAGTTAGAAGAGTTTAACTTCTTCAAAAACTCCTTATCATCGGTTTGACACCGATATAAGTTGTTTATCCAAACACTAAAAAATGTTTATTACTGGTGTCGCATCGAAATAAGTCAATAAGTTATTTTTATAAACAATCCCAAACACCCCCGAGAGGTTTTTTTGGGAGAGTTTTTCATATATGAAAGATCGTGTTCTTTAATTAAAATGTTTTTACAATGAATGTTCGTTTTTTTTACCTTTACGGCGTTTTACCGTATAAAAAAATAGTTTTACAGATCTCATAAAAACATCGGGTGTTATGTGTTATACTCATAAAACAGGATATAAGTATGCAGTGATTGATGGTAATTTGGACTAACCTCAGTACGACCCGATCTGGGGTTTGTAAGACGAAAAGAGGAAGAATTCAGATCTGCATTCATCGTTTCCGATGAAACTACAACTACCTCATCATCGATAGGTGGTGGCGACGGTGGCGGTGGTGGTGCTTCTTCCTCCGGTCTAGCTTCAACAATCTCAACATCCCACAGAATCCAATTGTGATGTTTATAAGGAATATCGTGTGTAATCGAATTTCTCCATGGAGGTAATCCACCATTAGCTCGTAAATAATTACCGTAACGAGTTTTCATACGAACTTGAAATCCATCACGAATCGGTTCCCATTCGATTGATGAATCTAGTTTTTGAGGCATGGATTGAACGACTTTCCGACCAGTGACGCCAAGGATTTTTTGATCTTCAGAGGCGGTAAGATACTTGCCGTTAATGGACTTCAATCGGACGACGTTATTGAAGCCATCGACAAATTCAACCATCCAGATCGCACTCTTAGTTGTTCCTTGACGATCCTGTAAGACGTTTTCGCCGTGGATCTCCGCCAAGAGGTACTTATCGTGGTGGCTCTTTAGCCGGACGGATTTCGCCTTCCAGAAGAACTCCATTCCTCCACTCTGCAATTATTATCAGGATTGTTATCTGATTGATGAAATGGTAAAGGAGAATGGATTGTGATCTGAGTTTGAAGTTGAAGCACATAAGATCAAAATCACCGGCGGCGATAGCGGCGGAGAAGAAATGGGGAAGCTAGTCGCAGAGATGAGTGCCGTTTTGGGAAAACCGGCGGCGATTGCAGCGTTGTCGGTGATGAAACGTTATAGGTACGCGTGGGATTTTAATCTTATTATAGTAAAACACGATTTTGGTCCCTGTAGTTTATTTAAATTACGATTTTAGTCCTTATGATTTTAAAATTGTGATTTTTAATCTTATACTTTGCAATTTATTGGTGTTTTGTTAATGTGATTTGCAATTTATTGTTATTTTCGTCTCTTATAAACCAGTGTATGAGTTAATTCAGGGACATAAATAACAATAAATTACAAATTATAAGGATAAAAACCATAATTTCTAAAACAAAGAGAAAGAAAATGTAATTTACTCTATCTTACATGTACTAAAGCTCAATGTTTACCCTATATTATAGAGTAATTACAATTTTCGTCCCTGTGGTTTGTTAAAAATTGTGATTTTAGTGTTATGGTTTTGAAATTGCAGTTTTCGTCCCTATAGTTTGTAATTCATTACTATTTCCGTCCTTATGATTAACAACCTATAATTGTTTCGATCCATGTGTTCTATAAATCTTTACTGTTTTGGTCTCTTATACAATAAAGGTAGGAATTAGTCCAAATACGTAAATAGCAATAATAATTGCAAACTATCAGAATGAAAATTGAAATTATTAACAGATCATAGAAATGAAAACTGTAATTTACTCAATGTGTTAATATGTTTTATCGGTTATTTTATAAATTTTAATAATTTACGTGAAAACTTTTTAATAAAAACAATATTAAAAGTATAATGATTAAAAATAAGTATCTGTTAGAAATATAAAAGTAGATCAGGAATAAAATATCCATAAATGTTTCATACCAGTTTTGTTTCTTTGTCTTTGAACGATTGAGACACCACATCAAGCGGAGATCCGGTGTCTGGTGAGCCACAATAATCGTCAACCACTGATGAAAAGCTGGATAACGAACTCATTACAGACTCGGTATCATCAGATAACGAGATATCAACCACATCAACTCCCCACAACACCCAATCTTGTGTTGCAGTTCGATGAGGTATATCATGCGTTACGGAGTTCCTCCAAGGTGGAGTTCCACCATTTGCCCTCAAGAATTTCCCGTCACTTGTTTGAAGCTTAACATGAAAGAGTCCTTCTCTGATTGGCTCCCATATAGTGGTACGATCTGGTTTTATTTGATGCGGATATTGTTGTACCTTTTTTCCTGTCATACCTAGAAGAAAAGCCTCGTTTGTGGCACTGAGGTACAAGCCATGGCAACTCTTTAACCGGATGGCATTTGGGTTTTCTTCGACATACTCGATGGTCCAACGAGCCTTCGAAGATGACCCGTTATGGCTTTGTCGGACTGTTACTTCATCATCATCAGCCACCAGATACTTGTTATGATAACCTTGCAGTCTAACTGCTTTAGCTCTATGGAAAAGCTCCATGCCACTCTATATTAAATCAATCAAAAATAAATGTTAGAATTACGATTCATTGTCGCTGATTTGTCATTCAATCAGCAATGGTACATTTGGTACACGGTTAATACCTGATAAAACTAGACGAGACTGGACAAATGAAATCAAAACAGATTAGGGTTTTAAGATTTAATCTAATAAGGGTAGTTTTGTAATTTACCACTTTTGTCTCATTTTCTTTCACCTACTTTGATTGTACATAAAAATGCATTTGTGCTCCTCTCAGTACTATTCTATGTTAGTTGTTGGACATAAAAATGAATTTAAATAGTAATTTTTTATTTATTTAAAAATGGGTTAAGAGTGGCAAAATATGATTTTACCTGTCTTCCGCTGACACGTGGCGACCCATTTGTGGTGATAACCCTATCGACATCCGGCGCCGACGAAAAACTCGTCGCCGGCGATAAATTACTCATGAACGACTCTTGTGACTCCAAACCAACTGCATCAACCACCTCCACATCCCACAACACCCAGTCCTGCGTCGCCGTCCGGTGAGGCATATCATACGTGACGGAGTTCCGCCACGGCGGCGTTCCGCCGTTCGCCCTCAAATACTTCCCGCCTTTCGCCCTCAATTTCACCAACCCACCTTCCTTTATCGGCTCCCACTCGACGGACGTATCCCTTTTGTTCGCCTGAATATCCTGCACCACCTTTTTTCCGGTCATCCCCAACAGAAACGGCTCGCCGGAGGGAGTGAGGTACCTGCCTGAAAAGCAGCTTTTCAGGCGGATTACATGGCTTTTGCCTTCCACCATCTCCACCGTCCACCGGGATCTGGTTGACGACGCATTACGGCTCTGCCGGACCGTCTGTTGGTCGTCGTCGGCGGTTAAAAACTTGTTGAGGTGGCTCCGGAGTCTGACGATTTTGGATTTGTTGAAGAACTCCATGGATTAATGGAGGAAAAAGGGGGAAATTTGTTTGATTCTTATGGATTCTTGTTATGTTGACTTATCGCCGATGACTTTTGATGGGTTGACTTTTTGAATTTTTGTCCAAAATTTGGAAGATTTGCAAGTTGGAAAGTTCGAAGCTTAATCTACTCGGTTTGTTTGACTAATTCAATAGAAGTAATAAAACTACATTTTTAGTCCCTGTAGTTTATTAAAATTTACTATTTATGCCACTGTGAAAGGGGTGTAAATGAGTCGAATCGAACATTAATGTTATGAAGTTCGGCTCGTTAAATTAAACGAGTTATATTTTGTGTTCGAGATCGATTCGAGTTCGAGAATTATTAAGTTCGAGCTTGAGTAGTTCATTAAAAGCTTGAATCATAATTGTGGTTTTAAAAATATGGTTTTTGCTATTTTTTTTAATTAACTTAGATATTCAACCTGCTATCTGAGTCGACTAATCCCAAGACAACCACCCGCTTTGCCGGTAGCTCGGAGTCACCGTATTTGAATTTTCGTGGTCACAAGGGAATTTTTGTTTTTTTTTTTATTCGAACCTGGGACCTCCAGATATTTTTGATTTTTCATTTTTGGAACTCAAACTCAAACCAATTGGACACCACCCTTTAGTTATGGTTTTTGTTGTTGTGATTTATAATTTAGAGTAAATTGCAATATTGGTCCCTGTGGTTTACACCCAATTACGAATACCGTTCTTGGACTTCAAGAAGTATAGTTATAGTTCATGTGGTTTCCATTTTATTTTGAAAATAATCCTTTGATTCAGCTCATGTGTTTTGTGTGTGTGTGTGTGTGGGGTGTGTATATAAAGAGGAAAAAAAACAAAAGTTAAATAAATAAAAAGGACTATAATTGTACTTATTGAATTTTAGGGACAATCTTTGTAGTTAGGTGTAAACCATAGGGATTAAAATTGTAGTTTACTCTATAATTTATTGTTTTTCCTTTATCATTTGTTGTTTTTCCGCACATGTGATTTACGGTTTGTTGTTGTTTTTGTTCTTCATTCTTAAGGATAAATTGCTGACGGTTTTAACCTTCTTGTTCATAATACTTAACGATAAAACACTAACGGAATACTACCTCAAAATAAAAACCCATCAATAAATTACAAACCATAAGGACTAAAATTGTAATTTTATAAACGTATGAACAAAAACCGTAACGATTAAGAAAGTATAAGCACTAAAATCGTAGTTTACTTTTTTATTTAAATTTATTCAATTTGTATGTTAAAAATATATTAATTAAGTACATGTAGACAGATCAAAAAAGCACGAAAATTGAAAAACAAAAAACCGATCAAAAAGAAGGATATCGTATGGCAGGGGCCAACATCATTGACGAACAATGATATAAAACGGGGTGACGGTGGATGGCAGGGAGGAGTAAAGGCGTTGCCTGCAAGGGTTTTGAATGAAGAATTTTGAAACGATAAAATTGATTTAAGTTTTTTTACTTCTCCACTAAGTTTCGTAGCCCGTTACAACAAACTTTTTTTTAATTTTAATGTAAGTAACCAATTTTAAAAAGTTCGATGGTTTATTTTATTAAAAAGATGTTCAAGAAGTTAATTATTCAACATTAAAAAGTTCAATGATTTGTTTATTAAAAAAATATTTAAAAACTAAGGGATCGTTTACCATACACTTACCCGGTAAGCATTTATAGGTAAATTTTAACACTATCATTTACTTACCGGGTAACATTTTTTAGTCCATCAAAACGGTATCATATGCAACAATTTACCGGTAAGCACTTACCGTGGTAAGAGTCGTCGCTCTCACTTACCGGATAAGACTATTTGTTCTTGTCTTGTTCTTACCGGGTGAGATTCTTGGTCCTTACCATATTCATCCGATAAGGTAATATTACGTGGTATTCACTTACTCGAGTAAGCGTTTGGTAAATGGCCCCTTAATCATTAATAAATGAATATATTTTTCTAAACATTTCCCTTAATATTACATTACTGTGGTTGGTCTAAAACGAGTTTCCATATAATGAGATGCTGAAATTTTTGATTCGATCCAATTCAATTACAATGGATATCTGATTATGACTGGTCAGTCTTAATTAAACCAGTCCATTTAAATTGAATCAAATAACTTTCTATTAGGGGTAGTCATGGTCTGGTTTGGGCGATTTAACTCCTCAAACTACAAACCAAACCGCAACGACGGTTTATAAAATTTCCAAACCAAACGGTTTGGCAGCAATTGACCAAATTGAACCACAAAAAAGCTGTATTGGACTGACTGGTTTAGGCAGTCTGGTCTTTTATGGGATTTAAACTAAAAACTATGACATCTATATCTACACTGAAATTTCTACGAATATATCACTCTTAAAAAATAGTATATCTAAAATTTGATTTTTGACAGATTTAGGAATTTTGTCAATTTGGATAACTTGATCAATTGAGAAATGACGTCTTTGACGAACTTTTTTTAACTGGAGCCTTAAAAGTAAAGCATACAACATGAAAAATGAATACAATTAATATATGTGTACGTTTGTCTGTCGGTTCGGTCCAAACCGCTAAAAGAATGTTCAAATTGCAGACCAGACTGACCTGAGTGATTGGACAGTTTTTCAAACCGGATCAGACCATTATATTTGCTCACACCACCAAAAAAGGTTCGGTCCGACTTGTTCAACCGGATTGAGTAGTCCAGCAGTTTTTTTGAACACCCTGATAATTTTGAATATAGCTAAGTAAAAGTTGGTATAATCTCCGATGTACATATATTAATCAAAACTTAACAATCATAATAAATCTGTAGTATAGAAAGACATCAGGCTCATCGGGTTGTGCTAGGTTCAAATTACTCGAACTCAATTGTATCCCAGTAGATGCGGTTTGACCTACTTTTTCATGTAATTTACATTATTTCATGATACAATTTTTTATGATTTAAGGTATATATAATGCTTTAGAAAAATGCTCAAACCAGAGATTGTTTGTTTACCTCTTAATAGTTCCATTAAGAGACAACATTTGAATCGTTAAGATGCGAATCTTGTTTGACAAAAAAAAAATTGTCTATTAATGGTTCTAAAACACTCTGAATGATTTTGTATCATGGATCTCCTTTAACCATTAAGAACCCTAATCTCATTATACACAATTACTAAATAATTATATTTCATTTTACACTATATCATAAGAATCTCTTAATTATTTTACATCAAATTATTCAATAATTGCCGAATAGAGTTAAGATTCTTGTTGATGGTCTAAAAATGAGTTTCATGGAATTAATTGGTGTGAATGACCCCCCAAAATAAGAATTTGGAGTGGATTTACTGTTTTAACAGAAAAGGGGTAACAATCCCATGTTACACGTTTCCTCGAACCTACCATGGACACGCACACATCACCCAACTGTAACTCCACTCCATTTTTTGTTTCCAAATTCAGCATCCACACGGACCACACCGCCATTGATTTCATCACCATCCCATCGTTATCGATTTCAGATAGGGAACAAGATCAGATTTACAGTCACAGACGTACTCCAATCTACTCATCTCATTCGATTTCCGATTCTTCATTGCGTGTTTCCGACGATAAGCAGCTGTTTTCATGCTCGCCGGAGCTTTTTGTTACATGATTTCCGGTAATTGAGATAATCATTAATAATCATGAAGAAATTGAGGAGTTATTACATGCATTTCAGACATCCACATACAATGGAGCGAAAATGGATCTATCCTTTGGCTGTTGGTTCAATCGTTTCGCTTTTTCTTCTGTTTTTAGCAACCCTAACTTCACCTGACGGCACCCCTCTCCTCCCACTTTATCGTTACTACGCCGGCGCTCCGGCGTCTGTGTTTGTTGAACACAAGCTTCGTGCCATTCCTGTTTCTACTGTCCCTCCTCCGCCTCGCTTTGCGTATCTAATTTCTGGTTCCAAACGCGATGGTGACATGCTAAAACGGACTCTTCTCGCGCTTTACCATCCAAATAACAGATATGTTGTTCACTTAGATGCCGAATCGTCACCTGAGGAGCGGCTTCAGTTGAATCAGTTTGTGAAAAACCATCCAGTTTTCGTGAAATTTGGGAATGTGGTGATGATCACAAAGGCCAATCTGGTGACGTACCGTGGGCCGACTATGGTGGCGAATACACTTCACGCTGCCGCGATCTTGTTGAGAGAAGGTGGACACTGGGACTGGTTTATCAATCTCAGTGCATCTGATTATCCGCTTGTTACGCAAGATGGTAATTGCATCTTCTTTCAGTTCATTTAGCTAAAATTATTCATGTTAATTAGGCATTGATGTTTTCTGTTGTTTGTTTTTGTTTTAGATCTGCTTCATACGTTCTCTTACCTACCGAGGGATCTTAATTTTCTTGATCATACAAGTAAAATTGGATGGAAAGAGTAAGTGATTTATTCTTTTATTGTGGAAATTTTGAATTGACTCAGCACATTTGTTATAATCTATGGATGTAAATGAATAGGAGTCAAAGGGCAAAGCCTGTTATAGTTGATCCGGGGTTGTATATGACAAAGAAAGCTGATGTTTTTTGGATCACACAGAGAAGAAGTGTACCTACTGCATTCAAATTGTTTACAGGTATGTAAGGCCACCTTACAGTCATTTTAGTTTCAACTCTGAAATTCCTAAGTTTCTGTTGGACTGTGCCTAAGCTTTTGTAGTTGTATCATAACTTGGTGGTGTAGTTAGCTATCTGATGAATAAGTTTTGAATGTGGGTTGGTTGAAAATGTTAACATGATCAATTTTTTTTCAATGTTTGTTATTGTGGGCTTTCTCTCATCTTGTACCTAATTTAGATCTAGCTATGAATATAAAGTTTGTTATATTTCTTTCTTCATCTGTGGAACCTTATGCATACGGTTTTTTAAATACCTTTAATACTTGTGATTGTGATTTTTCTTCTCAACACTGCTTGAATATATTGTGTTTGCCATTGATTTTGTAGAATCTGGGGTTTGTGTTTTAGATAGTATTACCGGGCACATGGAATTCTGGAACTAACAAGAAATTGATGTTTTATGTAAATAGCTTTAGACGAGCCATCAAATTTCTTTATATCTCAAGTGGTCACAATGGTTTGGAGTTCGAACATCTTTATTAGGCTTTCCATTTTTTAAGTCTTGAACACTGAAGTTAGTTCTGTATGCTACATATGACTCATGGCTATTTGATGACAACATAGACTCGTATATATCTGGCTCATGCTCTTTTTTCTTTTTAATCTGAATATAATTTCTGCTAGTGTTTTGTAGTGAGTAGTGACTAGCTCTACCCTTAATCCTTAGAAAGGCTTTAGTTGTCATCTTAATGTATTGCAGTTGTCTCTACTAGCTTGTGTTTGGCCCTTAGTACTTGTACCAAGGCAGCCAAACTCGGGAACACGAAGGCAAATAATCAAACAAGAACTCTAGAAAGTGAGGATAACTCAATAGCCAATACTTCTTATTGCTCTTACTTCTGCTTTACAAATGATGACCTATGTACAAACCTAGCATGTTCTACCTAGATATTTTACATAGAAGGATCTAGATGCGTAAACCCTAGAAGGGTAGGACTCTTCTAGAATATGCTTGATGCTTAATGATTTCTCTTCAAGGTTCCTCTATTATCTTGAAGGGTCTAGAATAACGCGACATCTCGGGGAACCTTCTTGCTGGACATGGCATTCCTAAACTCTCGACGCTCTTGTTGCATCTTATTTGTGCTGCCAGATTTTGGTTGTCTTCCTGTTATAATTCTTCGCCCTCCCCCAAATTATTTTCCTGATTTCCTGGTTCCCTTGGGTGCTTCAATGTATCCTTCCTTTTCTTGTTCGTAATTGCTTGACTGAAAATTCTTTAATTGCAAATTTCTCATTCATGCATCCTCCTGTGGTCGTAGTGGCATTCTTACATAACCGTCTTCTCATAACCTCGTGCTTTTTTCTGCATTGTGCTTAATTTGGAAGGCGGGGCGACACTGTTAGACTCGTAATTCTTCATCACAACTCTCTCCATCTCTTCGAATATAGTTTGATTGGGATCATCCCATGACTCTTGGGGTATAGCTATCTTCTAATCTTGTGATTCTCTTTGACGTTTGGACCTCTTTATATTGTCCTCGAGCTGTGTGGCCGATACAATCTTAAACTTTGACCTTGTTGCCTCTTTTGGTCACTACCTTACACATATTGCCTCCATCTAGACAACGTAACAAGTTGGAAAAAGGCATGGGAAAGGCTTGTTCCTTGTCAAAGAACTCCAACCCGACTACAAGTTTGAAGTCACCCATAATCTTGAAGGGTTTAGAATATGAGTTAGAAGTTATTTGGAAATATAATATATGATGTTTACACATGTTTTTATGATGATTCCAATATTAGCAGAATATCCATATCCTTGGTAGATGAGCAATGATATTAACCTCAAAAGTTTGAGTTTTGTTTAATAAGAAAGTGAACGTTCAATTCAAGGGTTTGAGTGGCTTGAGGTTGGACACAAGTGGTCTTTACATTTTGTCCTATGGCTTCGACTGTTTAAGGCAGTGATGTATGCTTGGGTTTTAGGGATCTTTTAATTTTCCTTTAATAGGCTTGTAATTGTTCTCCTAGGATTTTCCACCTGCATTTTCTTTATGATGGACCTTGTGTATTTCTTGTTCGTCCTTGTTTTTGTATAAATGTCCCTATAGATGGCTGGGAACATTTCAATATCTTCTTTTGCTTGTTATAGTTGATCCACAATTTGGAACAAGTTGTTATACTTGTATAGTTGTATATCAGCATTCTAGCAGAATCCTTGCGAGAGGGGAGGGTTCTAATTTTGCATGACCTTTTGGCCTATGTTCCTTTCGAAAAATTGATATTTGCATATATTTTTCTTACATGTGCACTCTAGTATCACATTTCTGTATAACATTCCCAACTTTATCGATCAGGCCTCAGACCCATTTGACAGATCGACAATATAGCAATCTCACTATTATATTTTCTTATGTTATTCTGTTTTGAAAATTCAATCTTCTACTCGTTGTGGGGATAAACTATGAGCTGTACAGGTTTGGTTTTTTCATGAACTTGCACTTCAACTGGGAAGTTTGAATTCACAATAACATCAAGTTTGGCTCCTATATGTGTTATTCAACAATCAACATCATGGTAGGTTCATATTTGCTGCAGTTATTGATATCGTGCTTGGACCTTTAGATACAAATGTTGCTTGACTGGTATATAGAATTTAAATAAAAGAAAGGAAATGTCGCCCCTTCATATTTTGATATTTGAGGCAAGGTTGTCGGTATATTGCCAATTCATGACTTGGGTTGTAAGCGTAAGGCTACCTTTGAGCAGGATATATTCGGAATATTTGATTTGGTTTGGTAGTAAGCTTAAGGCTAGATCCGTCATTTTGTTAGGTGAAAAAGGAAAAACAAAATGGGGAGCTAAAATTGACCTTATCTTTCTGTTCATTAGAGGACTGTAATTGTAAAGATGTACTATGAGTTTGAAGGCACAATAACTTCTTTAATGAAGGAACAATTTTCTAGATTTCATGCAATGTTTCCAATCCTAATACTGCCTCCTGAAACTAAGGGCCATTTACCAAGGTCTTACCTGGTAAGCGCTTACCGGCAAGAGTCACCACCTTCATTTACCTTATCAGGTAACATTCTCAGCCATTAAAATGGATTATTGGTAAGCGTCTTTTACTAGTTAAGCGCTTACCTGGTAAGCATCTTCACTTACCGGGTAAGATTCTCGGTCCTTACCATGCTCACCTGGAAAAGTAAGCGGCACCCGGTAAATGCCTACCCGGTAAGCGTTTGGTATACGGTTCCTAAATGTACTCAAAAGTAGCTAGCAGTTCATCTTGTTTCATGCCAACTTCAAGTGGCACATACATATAGTCCGCCATTGCTTTGTGAACATTTTGATTTCAAGAAATCGACCCAATTTGTGACCAGGAGATGACTGGCCGTAGTTAAGTGAAACCGTATGCATTTTCTTTGAATATGTTTCCTTTAATGTGATGATGGTACAGAGCACAGGAGGTACACTCTAGAAACAAAAGCGCAGACAATTGTTAACACATTAACATAGGATAAGCCTCCAGTCTCTAGAGAAAGACAATTGTTAACACATTAACATAGGATAAGCCTCCAGTCTCTAGAGAAAACGTAACCAAGGTTAAGAAGGACTACGCACCCCTAGTCTAACCTAGGATTCAGGGCGTCTAACCCCAACCTCTACTTATCAGATCCCTTACTCCCAACTAGGCTAGCTATACAAACCCCACCCCCAGTCTGCTATCCTAAACTTGCGTCTCCAAGAACCAGAACCAGGGGGGGACCCACTATCATGGATTCATGGGAGGATCCACCTTATCGGGTAGGGGGTACGTGCTCCCATCCAAAAATCTTAGAAGTTGTAATTTATTTATTTTTTAAACCCAATTCTTGTATTTACTCCAACCTTCTCTTGTTGATGTCCCCAACCTTGTTCTGTTGATTCCTCTTCTTTCAACGACTCACTCATTGCTCCTTGTGACCCACTCATTGCTTTTGGTGTCGTAGTTCTCAGCAACTTTAGTGCTCTTTTTGGATGATTTTGTTATTTACACCGACGCTTTTTTGGAATATAGCTAATTTTGTTGGATTATGCATTCTTTTCCACTGTTAAAGGTGTCTTACTAAGGATTTTGGAATAACTCAAAAAAGTTTAACCCGAACCTCATTATGTTAGGATGGGTTATTCGACGTTGGATTTTTTTAAGTACACTTAAGTGTGCCCCCGATCACATGACTTTCTGGATCCTCCATTACCCACTATGGTGCATATGGTGGCACGAGCCACCACTTCGTTCCTCCGTCGTAGTGTAAATTTTTTTAGGTTTGTGAAAGGTGCCACTGTATTATTTTCTTGGGTGCAACCATATATTCCTTGAAACGACAATAATAACACGAGTTTATCTTGGTAGAGTTGGTTTGCACGGTCTTTTCTCCCCTTCCGGGTGGGTTCGAATCTCACTTGTATCATTTTCTTAATTTTTAGCTTTTATTTTCAGGTTTATTATGTTTCTATTGGGATACAAGACGATTACATGACTTCATGTACAAAAAACAAGGAAAAAACCAATAGATGAATGATGATTTTGTAAAAAATACCCATAACTTCATTTTCTATAGTCAAATGGTGCCACCACTTGAAAAAAATTTTAGGTCCACCCACCAAGAACTCCTATCAAAGTCCATGAATATTTTGGTGTTGACTCTTGATGTCCCATGATAATAGCATTCAATCTGGTTTTACTTAGATATCTTTCCAACTCATGTAAGTTGACATAAATGGGCGTCCGTTGTATCATATTTGGCTTAACTATTTAGGAATTAGGACAGTCAAGCAGGAAACTTTAAGATTATTTGCCTCGGTATCAAGTGGCCTTACTGGTGATGTTCCCAAATAGCTCTCTTTTCATAAGTTACCCGCTACTAACTAGTTATACCCTTGTTCAAATGGATAAAGCGCTTTTGATTTTGGACTATATGGTAGATGGCTTAATAAGATGTTCACAAGAATGTAGGTATAAATATATAGATGGAATTTATATAATCGTGGGACACTTTTGTCAACCTTATATTTCATGTATTTACCGTGTTAATCTTACCGGTCCTTGTTTTTACTATGTGGGCTATGTGGTTGTTTTCCATTAAGTCTTGTATGGATAAAGTTGTTTGTGTGGATTAGTCTGTTTGTATAGCCTGGGAAGTTTTATGTTTGGGAGGAATTTTTCATAGATTGAAGGAGAGTTTTTTATTTGGGAAGGGCAGGTTTGGAAAAAACTTGGCTTTCTGCATAAAGACCCCCCTAGAAGCTTACTGAATAAGCCACTTTCTATATCATTAAGCCACTACCAAACAGTCTCATTAAGTTGCTAACAAACATGCCCGTAGTGTTCCTCTGCTTTAGTAGTTTGTTTCATTGCTTTGTATTTGTTTCTTGTTTGCACACACTTGTTTAACCAACCATACTTGTTTCCTGTTTTTCGTTTTTTGCAAGTTGGGGGTCTTCACGGAAACATCTCTGCCCCGAGGGGTAGGGATAAGATCTGGCCCTCCCCGGACCGTACATCTGTGGGATATACTGGGTTGCGTTCGTTTGGATTTATTGAGTACGAATTGGCTTGCAATAAGTATATGGTGAAATATGGAATGAAAACGTGGTCATTATTGTTTGAAAAGAACGCTAGTTGAACACTTCTAAGAACCGGTAGGCTAGCACCTACCACACCTGGGATGAGCAGCTACTATGTATTGCACGTGTAGAACTCATGAGCACAGAGTATTTTACATATATGTATTATGTGTGTGTATAGGGTCTGGCTCAGTGGAAAACCACAAAAAAATGAAAAACTAAGGAACACTTTAGTAATCATTCATCTGTACAGTATGCACACGTGCATACAAGTAATTTGTAAGTAATTTTTCCGGTATACACATGTTTATGTTGCATGTGCTTAGAAACCAGGTAACATCTTCAGTTACTTGTATGCACATGTGGATTGCGTACAGATGAATGGTTATTAAGGTGTTCTTCAGTTTTTCATTTTTGAGGGTTTTTCTCTCTCTCTCTCTCTCTCTCTCTATATATATATATAGCCTAGCCCTTGTCCATTTTTTGAAAGGCGGGGGTCTTTTCGAAAACAACCCGTGTCTTTTAAGATGGAGTAAAAGTCTGCTTAATGAGAACCTGGGTATCAAGTATTTATGATAAATATTGTGATCCATAATCCATACGTTAGTCTTTATTCATTCCATCTGTTTGCTCACACTCTTGCACAAGCGGAGGGTATTCACAGGGACATCCGTTGCCCATTAGCTCTGTATACGTTTCACCCTTCCTAAACCCTACTTTTGAGGGTTGGTTTGTTCTTTTTTCCGTCATTATGCTTTGTATTATTTGCAAAAAGTGTCGTTTCAACTTCATTAAAGTAGTTATTACAATGACTTTGCATTTCATCTCAGGATCTGCTTGGATGGTCCTATCTCGCCCTTTCATCGACTTCTGTATCTGGGGTTGGGACAACTTGCCCCGAACCGTCCTTATGTACTACGCAAATTTCATCTCGTCTCCCGAAGGCTATTTTCACACCGTTATATGCAACACACAAGAGTTCCGCAACACCACCGTCAACAGCGATCTCCATTTCATATCATGGGACAACCCACCGAGACAGCATCCGCACTACCTCACCACGGATCACATGCAGAAAATGATTGAAAGCAATGCCCCTTTCGCACGGAAATTCCATCGAGACGATCCCGTGCTCGACAGGATCGACTCCGAATTACTTTCCCGTGGCCAGGAAATGATCGTTCCTGGCGGCTGGTGCATCGGAAGCCGTGAGAATGGGTCGGACCCGTGTTCTGTAGCTGGAAACATCACGCTCCTAAGGCCCACTTCTGGCGCTAAAAGGCTCGGGAATCTCGTGACCTCCCTATTGTCGAGTCGGAGTTTCAGATCGAAGCAGTGCACATAGGAAGAAATTGTAAATAATGATCGTCTGTAATTAGTTTAATTGATTATACCGGGAAAAGATGTGGTTACAGAAGTCGAAAAATGGGAACCCGAGCTCCCTCGGGTTTCCGTTTTTCAGAATCGGGGATCATCGGAGACGTTGGATTCGGTAGAAAGCAGATAATTAGATGAAATTTGAAAGAGGAACCATATAATGTGGATTTTCGTTTTACACCATTTTAGGAACAAAAGTTTTTTGATGCATTTGGTTGATGTTAGAAGAAAGGGTAAAAGTGTAATTGTAACCAAAGGAAAGGATGGTGATAGTACATTTGAGGTGAATGACCTTCTCACGGCTTTCTTTTAAAATTATCATCTGATTTTCTAGTTCTAATTCCCAGTTTGATGGGTAATAAGGATAGAGACGGGATTTATTTTTATACCCGAAGCGGTTGAGGATGGCATTAGCTGCCTCTAATTCGGCCCAATTAAATCTTTTTATGTTATTTAATATATATATATATATATATATATATATATATATATAGGGCTTGGGTTCACGTGAGACCGACCTGTTTTTGTGAGACTATTTTTTTTTACACTTGAAACTTTATAGCAAAACGCTCTGACGGTAAAAAAAAAAAAACCCAAACCTTCACAGCAAAAACACTGCTGTGAAGTTTCAAGTGTAAAAAAGTAGTCTTACGAAAATATGATGGTCTTACGTGATTCCAAGTTTACACACACACACATATATATATATATATATATATAATGAAATTTACTTTTCTCAATCTCTGAAGGGTGTATATAAAAACATCTGTCTTTTATACAAGTGAAAGACTTCAAAAGCTACTTTCTAAAAGGATAATAAAGTTTGCTATCTTTTTATGCGTAGAATAATTTACGAGATGTCGTACTTGAATGGTTGAGCTGTTTGGAGTATAATTATTCCAAAAAGAAGATTCTGAACCACTCATGCAAAACACAATTAAACGACAAGATGTCTTTCTGTGTTCAGCCTTTTTTTTTAATTTATATCTGATTGTATATGGATAGAGTTTAGCAAAGCCTACGTAATTGCTTTCGCATGCAAAAAGTGTGTATGATAGCCACAGACCATGACATCCCTCCCATATAAATTACATCCATACTTGATACTTATTTTGGGTAACGTACTTTTAAAACTTTTATTTTGGTACTTAAAATGTAAAATTTTAAATATTTAAGTACTCAGGTAACCGGTTTACGCACTAACCTCTGAAATTTTAAGTGGTAAATATATCACTTATTACCTCTTAATCCTGATCCGCCCTTTATCACATGGTTCATATTTTGGGGGCTGGAAGAGATTTGTTAACAAAATCTATTCATCTTTTATATTTTTGTAAAAAAAACTATTTATCTTTTATATTTTTCCACTAGTTTGACCACTTCAGACGTAAAAACAAACAATCTTACTGGTCTAGACTTCAGGACCACCTCCTATAAATCAAAAGTGAAATCAAACTTCAGCACCTCTTAAAAAACAAACGCTACCTAAGAGGCTTACCCGGTAAATGAATAAAAAAAAAAAAAAAAACTCTTACTCGACAATCGCTTACCGCGTTCAAGATGCTTACCAACAATCCATTTGATGGCCGAAAATGTTACACGATAAGATAAGTGAATATGATGTCTCATGTCGTAAACGCTTACTGGATAAACGTTTGATAAACGACCCTTATTTTGAAACAAACTAAAATAGAAATGTAGACACTTAATTTAAGACAGAGAACATAATTTATTTCATATAATTAAAAATAAAATTAGAAAATAATAAGAAATGTGATGTGGATGTTGAAATAGACACAAAGGAAATGGTTCAAAAATAGGCTCCTCCTCTTATTATTATATCAACTATTTAGTGTTGGTTTGTTGGGGTGTTTTTCAAACTTATCAAGAAGTCTTGAAATTATGTTCATTCCAACTTTGTAAAAGAAAACCACCAAATTTTTTGGATTTTAATAATTAATGAATAATGAAACCCCAAAAGTTTGGAGATTTTTTTTGTTGAAATTATTGTCTAAATAATAATAATATATTTCTTATAAAAATTATTCTGTAAAATACGTAAAAATAAAACTGGTGATTTCGGACTCGAAGATTTTGTTGTTGTGATAAAAACGTGTATTCACATTTAAAGATATGGGTTTCAGGAGTAGCACGAATCGAGACCATTAGACTGAAAACGATTTGGATCTTTTTTTTGAAATATATAATATTTATATATGGCAAATAAACTCATACACCCCTTACCTTTGGTGAAGTTTGAATCCCTAAAAGTCAAAAACTCACATACCGCTAGGCTGACGGCTTTTTGGTGATTTGGGTCATTTTTCTTCGTCTTTTTTTGTTAAATGATATTTTAACAGGTTTTTTTATACTATATAACCTTTTGATATGTTTAAAAATGACACAACTTAACAGAAAAATATCATTTTATAAACAAAAATGTATAAATGTTAGAAGGTCATGGATTTAAAAAAACAGTTCTCGTGATTTAAGGTTTTTGTTATTACTATTTAAAATCCGTAGTCTACTGAAAATGTCATTATTTAATAAAAGGAAGTCATTTCCACCGTACATAAAAGTTGTCTAAAAACTTGTCATAAGGTTATAGATTTAATCAAAAGGTCTTTGACCTAGCAGTATCGTAGTTCTTGACCTATTAGGAGGTGAGGGGTTCAAACTTCACCAAAGATAAGTAGGGTGTATGAGTTTATTTGTTGCATTTGCCGTATATAAATATTATATACTTAAAAAAGGGTTACAGATTTAAAAACCACTTGTCATAATGTCATTTAACCGAAAAAGTATTAAACTCAATGATTTCATCCAATTTACCCATGTGAAAACAACCTGCTTCCATCTTAAAAGTACGCTAGAGGGTCATTTTATAAAGTGAGTTTACTGGAATGTCATTGAACTAAATAACCTTTTTTTTTTTCTAATTCTTCAAGCCCATTATTTTGCTCAATAACCTTAAATGAGAATTTTGTTAACGACATAACCTTCTGATAGGGTTGGGTTCACGTGAGACCAAGGGTTTTTCGTGAGACCCATGAGACCAATTTATATTCATTGATCAACTTTATAAGCTAACGATCTAATGATCTAAAATTGCACGGTGACAATTTTGTAATTATTGAGAAATCTCGTGTCAATTTTGTGATTATGAATATTGAGATTGTAGATCTAATCCAAGGGTTGAGAATTGGTCTTACGGGTCTCACGAAAAAGCCTTGGTCTCATATGATCCCAAGTCCCTTCTGATAAGTTTATATGTGTTATTGTATATAGAAAAGAAAAAAAAAAGGTTTAATGGCGGGGACCTCATGGCCCCGTGGTCCACATTTTGTGAACCCTA